TCATTGTGGTTTTAATTTGCATCTCCCTTATTACGAGTGATGTTGAACATTTTTTCATATGCCTGTTGGCCATCTGCATTTCCTCTTTGGAGAAGTGAGAACTCAGATTTTTTTAACCTCTGTTTTGAATTAGCGTACTTTTATTATGTAGGATACATGAGCACACACACAAATGCTCATTTACATGTCCATACAAATAAGGTAGAAGGGAAATGTTAACCTATTTATCACATATATGAATATATACTACCTGGTCAATTTTCACAATTTTATTTGTATAAACTAAATTTCAGTACATTTGTTATGGTAATAAGACAGACCACTGCTGTGTCAAAATTTCACAAACATACCAGCTTTTAAACATTTGGTCTTTCACTACTAAGAAGAGGTGTATATAATGCTTTTACTGTGTTCTATCAACAAACTGAACAGGCATTGTGATTACAAAGACTTCTACATTATAATCTGATTGCATTTTACCAGGAGAGAGAAAAATGACATTATTTAAGTGAAAACTATGCTGTCTACAATTTGCAACTTAAAGAATCACCTTTATTTTATTGCACACAAAATGAATGTGCTTCCAGGATTTCCCTAGAAACATGAAATCTTCATGAAGATTTTTACCTAACAACAAAATAAGTTAACACACAAAAAACTGAGTTTCAGAGTAAAATTCAACGACTTCAAACCGGTACGTTTATGTAAGAATATGGATTTAAAAAATATATTTACTTCATGATTTTTCCTATCTCTAGGATAGCTACTCTGTTTCACTTCAGTCCTTAACAACTTGCCTGCAGACATTCCTTTGGCTACGACTGCAAAAAGAGGGCCAACCTGCAGCTTCTCGACAGCAACACCCTGTTGTACATAGCTGGGAACCAGCTGATCCTGCTGGACTACAAAACCAAGGAGCAGATCTACCTGCGAAGCAGCAGTGGTAGAGGGATTGGTGTCATTGGGGTATGCCTTTTGTCCCTTAAAAAGTCAAAATCAAAACCTCTTTGACAGTTGGCTCTGTGGACCGGGCAGCTCCGAGGAGCCCATATCCGGCCTCAGTAACATTGAGTCGCAGGAGAGGCACGGAGGTCCCAGCTCAAAGCCTTTTGGGATCCAGTAACTACAGCCACTACTTTTACTGGCCTGTCTCTGCGCAGTGCTGTAATATTAACTATTTCGGCCCATTTTGCAGAGCGAGAAAACTGGTTATGGAGGGTAAGTGCTTCCCCACAGGGATGCAACAAGTGCTGTCTTTTTCACATTGAATGCTCTGTTGCTGTTCTGTAAAAAAAAAAAAAAGTGACATGAAAGACTCAAATAACAGACAAATGCCAGATAAATTGTGTGATGATTGAACATTAGGAGATGAAGTACAGATTACACAGTTAATAAATTTTAAGCTGCTACCAAAAGGATTTGTCTGTGATTAGAGCCTGTCTCTCCCCCTCCTCCTCAGGTTTTTGTCTCCATCTTGTACGTTTGGCTTCTCATCCTCAGCATAAAAGCATACAAAATGAATTTGTTCTTTTTTTAAAATGCCCCTCCCTAAGCATGCATTCTTCTTAAACTTTTTAAAAGATCTTTTAAAAAAGATTTATTTATTTACGCATGAAGAGCTGAGGTACAGGCCAGAGGCTCAGGGGCAGTGAGAGGCTTCACCAGAGACAGAGTGGGGAGCAGAACAGGCGGATATTGTGGCACCAATTGTATGCAAATATCTGCTGGCCCGTGGCAAGGTCACGGGCTTTAATGGGGGAATCAGCCAGGTCATGTGGTGTCATGAGCTTTGAGGTCTACCTCACTGAACCCAACACTTGTTTTCCTGTCATTTGATGAACAATAAGTTTCTGTTTTTCTCAACTAGTTGGGTTTGAGGTCAGCATTAGATGTCCCATGTGATCACGAATGTTCATCCTCCGAGACTCAGGATGGTTTCACGGGGGTTTTTCTCTGTGTTTTGGAGGTGTCGGTGTCTGGATAGTGACAGGGTCCTTCCCTCCACTGACCACGTCCCTCCATTTTTTGGAAAGAGTTTATGAATGAGAGATACTCTGCAAGGCTGTGAGAAACAAGTGAAAAATGTGTTTGAGGGCATATAAAATATCTTCTGACACAGATAAGGGCAAATCTGTAATTTGTATATCAAGTATACACTGTATATTTACACCACCCTGTAGATAAGACCTAGAAGGGTAAAAAATTTGCCAGTCATCATTTGTATTTCTGTGGCCACATTCGTTACACTGTTTGGGTTTGTAAATGGGGATCTAGAATGTTAAAATATATATTTTTAAAGATTTATTTATTTATACATACAGAGCTGGGGTACAAGCCAGAGGTGCAGGGGCAGTGAGAGGATTCAGCAGAGACAGTGAGGGACAGGCAGATCGGCTCAGTACACTGCTGAGGGGAGCAGCAGGTGAGACAGGAGAGGTCTGCTGCACCATGTGGGGGTCATCTCTGAACTCACACTGAAGTGGCTGTGACTAGCTTGCAGTGCTGCATCCGGGGAGGGCCCCAGAATGTTACAATCTTAACCTATGTCGTTCTAAGTCCTTGGGGTCTACTATTTTTTACTTCCATTCACTTCTTGGCCCAAACACAGGACTTGAATTCTGTCTCTCACTTACCACCTGTACATTTTCAAGCAAATTGCTTAACCTCTGTGCATCTGTTTCCTTGTCAGTAAGATGAGATTGATAATAGTATCTTAGCTCACAAGGTTGATGTAAAATTTAGGGAATTCACATTAAAAACCTTGATCTGTGTCTGGCACATGGCAAGCACTCAGTGAATGTTAGTTGTTTTTAGTGTAATCATCTATAAACGCAGACCTTATTCAAGGTGAAGTGATGGTATTTACTTGAATGAAGGAATATGAGGAAATTTGCCAACCTCGGGTCTGATTGCCCCTCTGTGGAGGTTTACAACATTATCTTTAAGTCCAGGGTTAGGTCTAATCTCGATTAAACCAAATTGCTGCCTTAGGTATATTGCCAGTACTTGAAAAGCAATAACTAAAAATAAAATTGTATAAGTACATTTTGTGTTTTAAATAACTTATAACAGTCTGTTTTTATTATTTGGCTGCCCATTTATTTTTCCTTTACATTGAACAAAAATAACCTATACTTCTACCCAATGAATATGTTCTCATTTGCTGGCACAAATCATTTATATTCAGAATATTTGCTCCTCATCTGGCTCCTTGGAGTTACTGAACCTTTCTCACTTTTAGTCAGCTTCTATTCACTAGTATAAATTTGTCTAAGTGAAAATTTAAAAAGTGACATGTAGAAACATGAATTTTTAGTTCAACCTCCCAAGCAAAGTAGGTTGGTTTGCATGCAAGGTCAATAATCCATCTAAATTTGCTCTTCTGAGAGAGTGGGCTCAGTCAGCAGCAGCAGTTTCACCTGGGAACTTGCAGAAGTGTGAACGCAAATGCTGCAATCCAGCCCTGACTGCATCAGGAGCTCAGGTGGTCAGGCTCCCGCATGGGCTTTATTGAGTCCCCGAGCCTTGCGATGTTGGGGCACACCAAAGACTGAGCCCCGCTCTTGCAGCACTTCTCATGGCAATCCAAACAATTCTAGTTCAGTATGTCCGTATTGACAAAAGTAAAATTTAAATGAGTTTTTTTAAGTCATATTTATCATCAAGTCTTTCTCAGAAAACCATTTTTGAGTTTTCACTTGGAATGGACCTCAATAAATAATTTACAAAACATACAAAATACAGTATTAATAGATGTATTCATATAAAAGTCCTTTTCATATTTAGTAAGATTGTGTTTTTTATAGGTTCATCCCCAGAAAACTTACTTCACTGTAGGTGAAAAAGGAAGTTTTCCAGATATTATCATCTATGAATACCCTTCCTTGAGGCCCTACAGAATCCTTCGAGGTGAGTCCAGTCAAAACTTTAAAATATTCCATGTCCAGGTTAACAACATTTCTACATGACTCTAGAAACTCAGAGTCCAACAGAGAAACAGAACAAGTAGGGGTTAGAAATGTATAAGGCTCATTGTATAAGCTGATTCTTTCAACAAATCTTACTCCTATTGAAACCAGCCACCACCCTACCCCCTCACACACACCCTACCCAGAACAAGCTGTAGGTCAAGACTGGCTATTTCCCACTGTGGTCTAAGCAACAGGAGCCATTGGAAAAGCAGTGGCCGTTTTGCACTCGGTCCCAGAAGACTTCTTGTGGCCAGGACAAGTGGCAGTGGCTGGTGGGCATTTACACCTGCCGCTAGTAGCTCCACTGGGCTCAGGCTGCAGGCAGAAGCCAGCACTGATGACAGACAGCCATGCTTCCCCTACTATGCCACCCCAGGGCATGCAGCCCCTAGTTCAGGGCTGCTGGGAGTTGCTTGGGGCCCACGGGGCCAGCCCCAGCACCGTGGCTCCCTCCAGCTGCAGGCAGTAGAGAAGCCAGTGGATCTGAGCCTGCGTTGTTGAACAGGATGATCAGGTGCAAGCTATGAGCTAATTGGTAAATGGTCCAATCAGCCATTGGATTGAAAACGGTCCAATCAGACCTGTAGGTGGGGGACTCTGAAAGACGACATAAAGCGGGCAGTAGCCAGCTTGGGACGCACTCTGTCCTTGAGAAGGACTCTGCTCCTGTCCTCCAAAGAAGATGAAAGAAGAAACAGCCAGCAGCCGGCCTCTGAAGGAAGAAGAGAAGCCAGAGGGCTTTGCAGAGGTAGGGGGCCTTACACTTGCTCCGGCCTAATTCTGGCATGAACTGGACAGAGCACTGAACGCCCAGGCCTGGTGCCTCAAAGAGCTGTTTGTTGGTGTGGGCCAACAACTCACAAAGAGCTGCTGATGCGGTGTTTCTGACACTGGCATCTCCTAGGGATGGGTGACAGGCACTATTGGCCAGTACTTCCCAGTACTCTTAATGGTGACCAGCTCTGTGTCCGGGCCACCTCTGAGAGTTGTTAATCATCCGGGGGACTGCATCTTGGTGCTGTTGCCTCCATTGCTATCTGGTCCAGCATCCGGTGCTGCCCATCCCAACATTCAGCAACCCCACCAGGGACTCTGGCCTGCTGCTGGCTGGCTGCCATGAGCAACAGGCCTTTGTTGGTAGGATGGTGCTGTCTTGATAAGTGACTTTTGTTTAGGACACTATCGGGGTGAGTCTGTCTATTTGCAGCCTTGAGATTTCCTTGTTTTCCCTGTTTGTTAAATAAGTTCCATTGTTGTTCACTGAGCCTCAGAATTCTTGCAGTTGTGTGTCCCCTACTGGGCACTGCCCTTCTGATGCCGTAGCTCTGTTGAGTTCAGTTTCGTTACTAAGATAAAGGTGAGAGTTATTGCGAGAGAAGGGCCCATCCAGTTGTGTGGGTTGATAAGTCTGCAGTTTGTTGGGCAGGCCGGCAGGCTGGGAATTCCTTTTCAGGAATTGACACTGCTGCTTCAGGAGACTTTCATCTTCCTCAGGAAAACAGTTTTGTTTTTAAGGACTTTAAATTGATTGGCGAACCCAACTATAATCTTTAAAGTTAACTGATTCTAGAGTTGAACATGTCTACAAAATACCTTTGCCACAACCTCTAGACTTGTGCTTCATGAAATAACTGGGTACTGTCATCTTAAGAATTTGACACAAAAAAATTAACCATCGCAATTACCATTCTTCTTTCCATATAATTAATTTTATTAATTTTTGAAGGACTTTATTTTTCAGAGCAGTTTTAGCCTTGCAATGAAATTGAGAGAAATGTTCTGAGGTTTCTCCCAAACCCTTTATTCCCCCACCCCACATCGTTATTCTCCACGGTGGAAATTTTTTAGCAAGGTTGAATCTACCTTGATATATTATAATCACCCAAAGTCCAAGTTTCCTTGGGGGTCACATGGTGTATATTTTATGGGTTTAGACAATGTGTGATGTAGTCATCATTATATCATGTAGCATATTTTCATTGTCCAAAAAATGATCTGTGCTCTTGTCAGTGTATAAATCTCCTATGACAACCACTGGTCTTTTTATTTTCCATAATTTGACCTTTTTCAGAATGTCACTAGTTGGAATTATGCAGTATGTAGCCTTCTTAGTAACACTCAGTTCTGTCATGTTTATTATGGTTTGGTGGCTATTAATGTTGCAGACTATTTCATTGTGGATTCCACAGTTTACCCCTCTCTTGAGGGGCATCGTAGTGGCTTCCCCTTCTGGTCATTATGAATAAAGTTGCTATAAATATCCAAGTGCAGGTGTTCATATGCACATAAGTTTTCAGTACTTTTGGGTAAAATACAAGGACTATAACTGCTTGACTCTATGGTAAGAGCATGTTTAGTTTTGTAAGCAACTGCAAAATCATCTTCCAAGGTGGTTGTACCATTTTTGCCTTCAACCCTGAAATATTGGAGAATTCCTGCTCTCTACAGCCTTGTAAGCATTTGCTGTTGTCAGTGTAGTGGAATCTCACTGTTTTAACTTATGTTTTCTGATGTAAAAAGGTGCTCTACATCATATATCATGCTTGTTGTCGCTGTCTGTATGTCTTTGGATCACTTTTTTTTCTTTAAACTTCTTTTGGAGATGATGAAAAAAATACACAAAATGAAGAACAATGTAAAAGGATGGACCACTTAATTGGATTGTTTTCTTACTGGGTTTTAAGAGTATATTTTGGAGAACGGTCCTTTATGAAGTGTGTCTTGTAAATATTTTTTGAGTTGACATTTGGTGGTTGACATTAACTTGGTTGACATTAACTCAGTCACTATTATTTCAAAGATTCTGTTTTTCTTTATTTTTCTGGTATTCTTGTTTCACATATATCCCCAGTCCTTAGATATCCTATCAGTGTTTATTTGCTTTCAGTGTTTGAAGAATCTGTTACTATACCCTATAGTGTAGCAGTTCTTTCCTCAGCTGTGACTTATCTACTAATAAGCCCACTAGAGAACATTCTTCATTTTTTTTTTTAATTTCTGGCATTTTCTTTTGGTTCTTAGAGTTTTAATCTTAGTTTATATTGTTCTTCAGTTCTTACATGTTATCTGCTTTCTCCATTAGAACCCTCAGCATATTACTCAGTTGTTTTAACTTCCTGATCTGGTAATTCCAACTTCATGCCATTCCAGTTCTAATACTTGCTCCGTGTCTTCTTCAAATTGCATTTTATGCCTATTGATATGCCTTGTAATGTTTTCTTGATAGTCGGACATGATATACTAAGTTTAAAAAAAAAAACCTAATGTAAACAGTTCTTTAGTAATGTGGGGGGCAAGGAGGGGAAGATTAGGTCTCAGTTTCTAGTGATCCTCCTGTCTCTGGGCTGTGAGGTACAGAAGCGTTTCTCAGACTTTTTCTCTTCTCAGTGTGGGATAGGATGGCCAGAGTGGTAGAACTGGGATTTCCTTTCCCAGGTCAGGTAGTCCAGTAAAATCCTACTGAGGGAGGCTCTGCTTAACGAGTTTCACCTAAGGGCAAACCCTACTAAGAGCCGCTTGCTCTAGTTTCAAGATGGTGCCCTTTTCACTTCCCCTGCTCAAAGCCCAAGGTGGATTTTCTAGGTATTTACCATGGGAATCTGGTCAAGCTCCTGGAGTTAAACTTAATCGATATTTTGGGGGTCATCTTGTGTCTGGGTCTGGAGTTTTAGCTCTCAGACTTGTCCACACTGAGCCTCAGCTCCTCAGGTGTGTGCAGCCTGTATGACCAGTGCTGAGTCCCTGCCCTGGTAAGTAGCAAATCCCTATATTTACCTATTGGCCTCTCCAGTTCTTTGGGGGCGGGGGAGTGGTTTGCTTTATATCTTCCTACCCTCCTTGCCTCTCTTATGGATCCAAGAAGACTTGATTTGTTGTTCCTTTCGGTCTGTTCAGATTTCCTTGTTCTTATTCTGGAAAGTGATTTCCAAGTTCCTTCCAAGCACAAGGAGAAACCTCAAGTTATTGTCAGTTATTTGTGAAATTTTCAGTGGCTTATTTTAAATTGCAGATTGATTTCTTTCTGCTTTCTAACATTTGTGTTCCCTGCATTCCTAAAATGGAATAGTAACAGTGTAATCCCCATAGAAAGGAGATGTTCCAGGTTCCCTGCTTCACCCAGTAAGGGTGGATCTGAGCAATGAGAAGAAGCTAGAAAAGACTGGGAAGAGAAATTAGGAGATGAAGCAACACTTGCTTTTGAGTCTGAGACTTGGGGTGATGATAGGAGAAACTTGAGAGACAGATGTGGGTGAGAGACCAGTGGGAGGCTGACAATATCAGCCTTTATACTGACTTGCATTTTGATTCTGCTTGTTTCCTTCCAGACTTGTCTGGATACCTCTGCCCTATTCCTATGGGTCCCTGCCAGAAGGTCCTTAGCTTGTGGCAAGCTTGTGAGCTTCAGTGGCCTTGCTTTGGAAAAACCCTGTTTGGCTGTACATTTATCCATGGGGGTGGAGGGATGAATAACTTTGAGTGTTTTATGGGTAAACTATTTTAGCTGTATTCTTTCTCTTCTCTCTGCTGCACTGGTCTAATTGTATTACAAGTTCTTTCTCATGAAGGTCTCACTAAGAATATGTTTTGTGTTTGGGCCCTCCCTGGTGGCGCGGCGGTTAGGGCACAGCACTGAGAAGTTTAAGCCGCTTCCGCATGAGTTCGATTCCCGCCTGCCCTGGAGGTGACCACATGGCACGGCAGAACTCTCCTGACCCGCCCGCTGCTCCCCTCAGCAGTGTACTTCCTCGATCTGCCTGTTCTGCTCCCCTACCTGTCTCTGGTGAATCCTCTCACCCTCCACATCTCTGGCCTGTACCCCAGCTCTATATGAATAAATAAATAAATCTTTAGAAGAATATATGTTTTGTGTTTATGTGGTAGATGGCAGAACCCATTTAGGGCAGGCAGGCGTGGGGGACTTGGGTGCCCCTCAGTCTGCCTGATAACAGAATATGTTCTGAGTATTTTTCTCATGTAAAATGTGATTAGCCCTTCTTCACCCTTACATGTAATTCATTCTAAAATCAAGGGTGAAAAATGATTTTAGAATTGCTTCTTTAGGTAAATCTTGGTATTCTTCAATAATGCTACCTCTGTGTTTTACAGACAACACTTTAAAAAAATGAGGCTAGTAGCACAGCTTTCACTAGGCCCCTTTACCCTTTTAGATGGGGCTGAGCTGGCATATGCCTACATGGACTTCAATGCCAGTGGCACCTTGCTGGCCTCTGTCAGTGGCAACCCTGATCACACACTGACCATCTGGAACTGGAAAGAGGAGCAGACCATACTGCGAACAAAAGCTTTTTCTCAGGAAGTTTTTAAAGTTTCTTTCAATCCTGAAGACGATGAGCAGCTCACTACATCAGGACTGGGCCACATCAAGTAGGTGGTGGGGCTGAGCACAGGTGCCGGAGGGTGTTGGCCGGAGGGTGTTGGCCGGAGGGTGTTGGCCGGAGGGTGTTGGCCGGAGGGTGTTGGCCGGAGGGTGTTGGCCGGAGGGTGTTGGCCAAGAGGGTCAGCCAGAAACACCTTCGCTGCTGCTGTTAACATTAGGGTTGTTTTACAATGTGTTATATAACAAAATGTGTTTAATATCTAACCGGTTAATACAGTTTGTCTAATTAGATATGGGGATTTGTTACTGAAAACAGCACATGGTAAAAGAAGATAAACTTAGTATCCTGCCCTCTTGCAAGAGTGTGTATGTCTTACTAAACATTGGCATGGTATTTCCAAGTTCACACTGAACTTTCAGATTCACCGTTGCCATTATAGCAACACTGTATGACAGATATGTCTTGTTGATATTGCTGGACTGTCTTCATCTACAAAACAAGAATTGTACAGACCATTCCTGACACAGGATCCTCGATACTAGGTGGTGGCGGAGCCTGCTCTTTATTAGAGAAAATTATAGTTGACTTTTAACACTATAATTGTTTTAGGTGCACAGCAGAGTGATTGAAGTTTTGTACATATTGTAAAATTACCACAGTAAGACTATAAACATCCATTGCCATACTTACATTTTTTCTTTTAAGATTTATTCTCTTACTTTTAAAATATGTTATACAGCATTATTAGTTATAGTCACTGTGCTATGTAATATATCCCTGTGACTGATTTATTTTAAAGCTTAGAGCTTATGTTTTCTTAGCCTCTTCTCCCTCTTCCCACCCCACCCCACATCCAGTTTACATAATCGAGTCTATATGCATGAGGTTGGAGTTTTTGGGTTTTTTGTTTGTTTTTGTTTTAGACTCCCCTTATAAGTGAGATCATATGTGTTTGTCTTTCTCTTCTGACATATTTTACATAGCATACTGCCGTCAAGGTCCAACTTTTTGACATAAATGCCAAGATTCCCTTTTTTATGGTTGAATAATCCTCTGTGTATGCACACAGAATATATATACTTGCACACAGAGAGGGAGACATTTATAGAGAGACACAGATCCTTATTTTCTTTACCCAGCCTACAGTGGATACTGCTTCCATTTCTTTGATAACGAAATAATGCTGCAATGAATGTGGCAGTACATGTTTCTTTAGAGTTTTTTTTTTATATATATAAATACCCAGAAATGGAATTCCTTGATCAAATGGTAGTTCTTTTTAATTTTTTGAGTAAACACCATATTGTTTTCTACAGTGGCAATACTAACTTACATTCTGATCAACAATGATACAATAGTTCCCTTTTCTCCCCACTGACACTTGTTCTCTCACCTTTTTGCTAATGACCCTTTTGACAGGTCTGAGGAGGCATCTTTCTGTGACTTTGACACTCTTTACTGTACCTGTGGGCCACTAGTATATCTTTGGGGACATGTCGATTCAGATTCTATACCCCCTTGTTGAATCAGATTTTTTTTCCTTCTATTTGAGTTGTATGATTTCTTTTTATATTTTGGGTTCTTTAAACCCCTTATCAGAACTATGTTTTGGCAATATTTTCTTCATTTGATAGGTTGCTTTTTATTTTGTTGGTTTCCTTTGCTGTGCAGAAGCTTTCATTTTGATGTAGTGCTACTTGATTTTTGCTTTTGTTGCCTAATCTTAATTTCAGGTTCTTGGCTGTAAAATTCACACCCGTTTCCACACCCATTTCCTCATTTTACACTCTGATCTTTTCCAGGATGGAATAATTTTGTCCTTCCTTTAAAGATTTATTTACTTACACATATAAGAGTTGGGATGCAGGCCAGAGGTGCAGGAAGTGAGAGGATTCACTAGAGACAGAGTGGGGAACAGAACAGGCAGATGTATTGAAATACACTGCTAAAGGGAGCAGTGGGCCAGACAGGAGAGGTCTGCCACACCCTGTGGGTCAGCTCTGTGGCTGGGGATCTAACTCATGCTGCCGTGGCTGTGGAGAGCTTCACAATGCTGAGACTTAACCCCTTGCACCACATAGAGGCTCCTGCTCCACTTTTTGGAGCACTTATGTATTTATGTAATAGCCTTTCACCATCACTCCAGAGCTGCCTGTAACTTGATTTCTGGTGTCACTTTGTGAGAAAGACATTTATGTTTTCCCTCATTTTCTGTTAGTTTAATTTAAACCTGGCAGTTGTCTTTTTTATTCATTAA